GTCATAGGACATCTTTTGGGATTCAAAATCCCTCTCTCTAGTTGCCCAAGCGGCATCAGCCTCGTTTGTCTCCCTCACCGGTGCCACAGGCTTAGTGGGACACGGTGAGGTGACTACCCAGTCCACCTCAGCGAAGATGAAGGTCAGGTCAATCTTTTTCTTTCACTCCGTGTAGTTGTCACCTTTGAAAGTGGAGATCTCTTTGATACAACCCATCAAGTTATATCCGCTCTGAAAACACAATTTATATAGAGTGAGAACATAAATAATAACAACAATTGCATACCTTGATTCCAACGTTGGTCAAAATTAAAACATACAACTGTTTATACATTAAATCTACATCACAGTTGGGCAAAAATAAAAATAATGCATAAAATCGTTAAAATTACGATATTGTTATTAACAACGTTGGTCAGAAAATAACAACATCATAATCATGTCAAAATCTCTTTTTCTCCAATTAAATATCACGTTGGTTCAAAATAACTGGAGAATAGACTATTTCTTTAGCAGCGGAAACTTACACATAATTTGTGAATTTTTACCCATAGGTAAACTCCTCTTTGCTTTTTTTTTGAGACATTAATCTATTTCTAGGAAATAAACTAAATTCTCTGGAAAAAAGAAAAAAATGGCTCAATTTGTTCCTGTTCATTCGACCCGGACTTAATTTAGCCTAGCCCAGCTCTCGCGCGCCTGTAACACCTTCCCAGGCCGCAACCTGGGCCTGGGTCGAGAAAGCGGCCTGGCGCTCTAGCCCGCCTAGGCCAAATTCGGGTCTAGTTGATCTACGCCGTTCGATGGAGATCGACGGCTGCGCGTGCTCTTCGGCCGAACAAAAACGGCGATGGCACCGTTCCCCCAAAAACCCTAGCTCACTCTTCACTCTCTACCTCTCTCTCTTCGCTCTCTCACGCCGAGCCGGCGTCAGCGGTGGCAGCCACAGTGGTTGTCGACGCCGGTGAGGAAGACATCCACCGGACCAAGTCCGGCTCCCCTTCCTCCTCTTCCTTTCTCTTCCCTTTTCCCTTCTCTTCCTCAGCGCCGCAATCAGAGAGGACCACGATGTGACGGCAGCCCGTGGCGGCTGTAGCAAAAGAAGGTAGTGGCGCCGCTATGGGACCCCTCGCCGGCGTGCGCGCTCACCCAAAGCTGAGCGCGTCGCCGTCGAGTGGCCTTGCGGTGGTGCCCTAAGCGGCGTGGCGCAGTGGAACGCCGGTGAGCGGCACGGCTCGGGTGGATTCCGCGCGGTGGTGGGGTCACCTTCCTACACAACGGTGGTGGCAACGGTGGGGAGAGAAACCCGGGTAGGTCCCCTCCCCGGTCTCTTTTCATTTTCTTTTACCCGGTTAGGGTTAGAAATTTTAGATCAAAACTAGGGTTAGGGATTCGATTTCACTGTGTTTTTCGTTCACCCGATCTAGATCTAAAAGCCCTAGAAGACCTGGCTCTGGTACCATTGTTGAGATCGAAAAGATCATCTTGGGTTAGGTCTAGCGGGTTCTCTTTACTATGAATGCGATATCGAGAGTAGAGAGGCATAGAGGAATAGAAGAAGAACGTGTCGAACCTGACACTGCAGAGGGAGATGATCCAGAAGCCGCCATCTCATTCGTCGGTGAAGTCTGCGCACGGGCAGCGATGTTCGGGAAAGAGGTCAATGAAGTCATCACTGGCTGCGCCCCTCTCTGACCGGGATTAGGGTTTAGGTTTCGGTGGGGAGCTCGGCTCACGGTAAACCTCATACTCAGAGCCGCCGGCCCCCACCTCTATATATAGCGCAGTGTGACAGGGGCTCTCCAGCCATAGTGGGCTAGGCGCCCCCGATCAGGGTGCGGATCAAAGGCCCAACTGGGCCGTTGGGCCCAGTTTGGGATTAGAGATCAATCTAACAGATGATGCTCCGGCCCGACGCGCCAACCGCTGCTCGGTGTAACGATTACCGAGTAACGACGCCCACGAGGATGAATAAGACATGGTCGTAGAGCGCGAGGCTGATGAGCATGCTGAAGTTGATCATTTTTGGCCGGCGGGATCTGCAAGTGCGGGGTGAGGTGGCGGTCAACGGTGCGCGCCTGATGGATGGCGAACATGGAGCAATGACGCATGGGAGGGAGCTGGTCTGGTGGTGGTGGACCAGCATAGATGTCCATTGGGCCGGCCCAGGCCCAGGCCAGGGCCTGGCGTGCCGCCGGGCCGTGCCGCACTGAACCTTCATGCCTGGCCGACGGCCCAGGCACGGCCTGTCGAGCCACTTTCCGTGGTGGGCCGACCCGATGAGCACGTCCATTTTTGCAGGCTAGGCCGGCCCGAGGCCCGCTAAGAGAAAGGGGGGAAGGGAGTCTAGGAGTCGGAAGGAGGCAGAGGTGGCCAACGCTTGCGGACTACGGTGCGGTTGCGCGTGTGTGGGGAAGAGGAGGAGGTGGTGGGCCGGTCGGCAGCCGCACTCAACGCCGCCGCCACCGTCGCTACCGCCGCTCGAGGCCGACCACCACTGCCGCTCGAGGCTGGCCACCGCGCAGGGGCCCATGCCGTCGTGGTCATGTGGAGGAGGGGCGGCGTGGAGGTAGCCGCACGGCGGCGCTGGGGCGTCGGGGAGGCGCTCGGCGGTGCTGGGGCCACGGAGGTGAGCTGTTCGGGAAAGAGAGAGGAGCGGGAGGGGAGTGAAAGGCTATCGGTCGGCACTCGGGAGAGAGGAGCGTGCGCGACTGTGAGCCGTGAAAGCGTCAGGAGATGGGGAGAGAGAGGGCCGGCGTGAGGGGGGAATTGGGAAACCAAGTTAGGGTTAGGCACCGGAAGGAGGCTTGGGCTCTTAGTAGGCCAGGACGCCAGGGTGGTCACCGGGCCTACCACTAAAATGTGGACCATGCCGTGCTAGCCCGCGTGCCTAGAGTGCGGCCCAGGCACGACCCTATGCATCGGGCCATGCCGCCTTGACCCGCACAATAACGGGCCATGCCATACTTGGGCCGAGCCAAAAAAAACCGTGCTTCGGCCGTGCCGTTGGGCGGCGGGCTGCATGGACATATATATGGACCAGGAAGGCCACGCGTCGCCCGCACCCGGGGAGCCTGCCGGGACCTGCTCCTGTGGTTCCCTGTCGGCTAGGTGCCCGCCGGGGTGGGGAGGCCGTCGTGGTGCTCTACACCACCACGCTCTGCGTCATGCGGGGGCACGTTGGAGGGCTGCAACGGCGTGCGCGCGTTGCTGGAGAGAACTGGGCGGGGCGGGGCGTTCCAGGAGCACGACGTGTCCATGGACCGGGGCCAGCTGTGGCTGTGGCCTGTGGGCTGTGACCTGGGAGAAGGCTGTGCCCCCGCGCCTCTTCGTGCGTGGCCACGACGTAGGCGGCGCCGCGCAGGTGCTCGCGCTGCACATGGAGGGCCGTCTCGTCCCATTGCCACCGCTGGGCCTCCGTTGGTGTGCCCCCGCGCCTCTTCGTGCAGCGGCTGCCGACGGGACGAGGCGGTGTTCGAGCAATTGGAGAAATGAAGAGCTATTGGAGACTGCTCGAGAAAAAAAAAGCAAAAAGACTTTCAAAATAACAAACCGGTAAGACAGTCATATCAGTGGCTATTCAGTGGAGAAGCCAGAAATTGTATATGGGGCCAGCCAAAGAGTTTTTATATATACCAGCCTGTTCGGCTGATACGATCGTATACGATCGTGGATTATTACTGCTACCTGGTTTGGTGTAAGAGAAAATACTGTTCGGGCTAGAAATTTACGATCATTTACGACCAAGCGAACAGACTGGTTGTTTAGGTAAATATGATGAAATGTAAGTACAAATTTAGCAAAATCTGAAATTTCATTAAATTTGTCCTAATATGGCAGGCAAAAAAATCTCGATGAATCAAAACATTCTGTTCTAATAATTATATTTTATGTGATTTTGTCGTGGATAAGACATAAAAAATATAAATGGCATGAATTTTTTTATCAAATCTTTCTAATATAAAAATAGATCATTAAATTATAAACTAAGCAAAAATAAGGTTGCGATATTAGGAGGGGGGCATATGGCCCCTGCCAGCCCCCTAGCCCCTGCTCAGTCCTCCGTCTAGCTCCCTTGATCGAGTAGCAATTAGCTGATTAGCTATTAGTGCAAATGGCCTTTCATGGTTCTTTCTTGTTATAGCTTGGCTAGACAGGGTTTCCAGTAGAGGAGCGGTACAGAATGCTCGAGCAAGTACCTGAATAGCATGCGGACCAACTGGAGCCGCCATCTACGTGACGACCTCACGGCAGTAGCGGCTGCTGCGCTGCCACCGGACTCTGGCCATCACCGACGGCGACCAGGAAGCCAACGGATCAGCGCCAGTGGGGTTATGATTTTCACGGTACATTTAAGCGGTCATGATTCGGTTTTCCACGGAAATTAAAGGGTGAGAGGCAACTTTTAGCAAATCAGATCTTTAGGGGGCTAGCTTTGGAATCGTCTCGACGGGTATGCAGATGCAGTCAGGAGTTTTTTTAGCAGCACGTGATCATAGTCCAGATCGACTTGATTATTGTTCTGATCGGGTCTTTTTTTATGCATTTGCGGGCCTTATTCGGCTGATCTATAAGTCGCTTATGCTGATTTGTACGGCTGATTTATTGGGAGAGAAAAATATTGTATCATAGCTGATAAGCCGGTTTATATGAGCAGCCGAACATAGAGTCATCAGTTTATTTATGTGGATGCTCTGGGTAATGAACCCACATGGCATTTCCTGTTCCTGTGCTGTGAATTTGTGATAAATCCCCTTGGCTTTATTAGCAGTTACCCTATTTAGTGGTCCATTTTGCCTGTTTTTTCTTTTGGAACGGCAACTACTCATCCCATTAGGCACTGGTAAAGCCCCCCGAAAAATACATTCTTGTTTATGTTTCTGGCGTTTCCATGAACCTGACGAGCACATACAATTGGCAACTTTCCATGTGAAGCCAAATAAACATAACATATCTGACAAGACAGACTTCACTCATATGCATGTAGTGTTGCAGGCATCATGGAAATTATTGAGTTAAGTTCAGAATCAGAGGGCGAAGGCTTTGTTGACTTGTGTTCAGATGGTGAAGACAGGACCGTTCTATGCTCAGACAGCACCGTTTCATGCAGCTCAGACAGAGAAGACGATGGCTATGGTGATCGCAGCACCCGTTTTCGCCCGCCCATCCAATCTCTCAGTCTCAGCACAGCTTCTGACGAGAATAGCGACGAAGAACCAATCATGTTGGAAGTCGACAGTTTTTTAAGTGACACTCGTCAGGCTTCATCCTTTTATAGGCCTGCCGAGAATAGACCAGCCACTGGAAAGATATCAAAGCTGACAAAGAAGGACTTGCTTCGGCAGCCCATAACTTCTGTTATTGATGCTCAAGCCGATATTGGCTCAGAAGTCCCAGAGAAAAGCCTTTTCAGTGTTGATGAGAAAGTTGTTTATGACGATGCCCTGCAGGTATGGATCTTTGGTTTGATTGACGTATTGGTGCCTTGCTCAAATATATAAAGCCTGTTTGCAACGTTTATTTAGTTTATTATCCATGGCACGAACTAAATTGTTTTCCCCCAAACTGTGTGCAGTATATCCAACAGGAAAAAATGGAAGAAGATTTGCCTGAAGATGTTCTGTCAGTATCACTCCTTAAGCATCAGGTACCTTTTTTTTTAAAAAAAATAATTTTAGTCTTGTTATTATTTTGCTTGTTCCAGGGCTGTATTCACTTCTGTGCTCTTTTATGTTTCAAAGAAAATAGCATTAGCTTGGATGGTCTCTAGGGAGAATAATGCACATTGCTCAGGTGGAATTTTGGCAGATGATCAGGTTATTTCTTGTTTCATACCTTTTCCCCAGTAAATTTTAATCATTTATCAAATTCCCTTGTTATAGGCACATAGTTTACTGTGATGCAGGGTCTTGGGAAAACAATATCTACAATTGCTCTTATACAGAAGGAGAGGCTTCAGCAATCTAGGTTCATGAGTGATGATTCAGAATGTGGAATATCTGTTGGCGATGATAATGAAGCAGCGCTTGATATGGACAAGAAGGAATTGAAGGTCCATGCTAGTCGATCAAGGGCTGTTAAAGCTCAACCCAAGAAGGCCAGAGTGAGCTCCACTGCATCAAGCTTGAGGCCAACGACTAGCCCAGCTGCAGGTACATTGGTGGTCTGCCCTGCTAGTGTTCTTAATCAGTGGGCTAATGAGCTGTCGACCAAGGTTACCAGAAGTGCGGAATTGTCTGTTCTGGTTTATCATGGAGGTTCAAGGACTAGAGATCCCACTGAGCTGGCAGACTACGATGTTGTTGTCACAACATACACAATTGTGGCCCGTGAAGTGCCTAAAGAAAACACTAATGATAAGGTTTCTCCTGGCAATAAAAGGAAACTTAAGAAAAATGCGAAATGCAAGACAAAGAAGATAAACAAACCTGGCCCACTTGCTAAGGTACGATGGTTCAGAGTTGTTCTAGATGAAGCTCACATGATAAAAGGACACCAAACTCAAACGGCTAAAGGCTGTGGTGGATTGAGTGCAGAAAGGAGATGGTGCTTATCAGGAACACTCAAAGTACTAGGTGCACACAAATGCAAATGAAATTGAACAGTGCCTGGCACTAAAAAAGAATTAAAAAAATTCAATACTTGTTAAGGCAGTTCAATGTTCATTGTTATTGTGGTATGGCAGAGGCCTATGCTAAAAAATAACTTTTGTAGGCAGAAGGATGCATTGGGCAGGTTTTTCAGTGTAAGCGATAGGTGAAAAAATGCAGACAGTGCAGTCATTATCTCACCTTTTGTCATCAAAGGACGATCCATCTCTGATACGTTTGTCTATGCTCTTGAGTTGGTTCAGGTCTGTCACAAAAGAAAACGTCCGGCACTGGTACTCAAACTAGACTTTGCAAAGGCCTTTGACACTGTGAATTGGTCGGGTCTGTTCAGAGTGCTGCGTGCGAGAGGCTTCAGTGATCTGTGGATCAAATGGATGGAGACTCTCCTGAACACCTCCAAATCGGCAGTCCTTGTGAATGGCTGCCCCGGACCATGGATAACTTGTCAGAGGGGACTACGCCAGGGTGATCCCATATCTCCTTATCTGTTTCTTCTGGTGGCTGAAACTCTGCAATGTATGATAAAGGGCTGTGGAGACATTCAGCACCCCGCTGACGATGGACTGCCTAGTGCGGTTCTGCAGTATGCCGACGATACCTTAATTGTTCTCAAGGGTGATCAAAGAGGTGTCTCCTCTCTCAAAATTCTGCTCGACCGGTTTGCATCAATGTCAGGCCTCCACATCAACTATGCTAAAAGCACTCTGGTGCCGATTCATATGGATGAGCAAACAATTGTCAGTTGTGTCGACATAATTGGATGCAAAAGAGAGGGTTTTTCGCAGCCATACTTGGGACTCCCCCTGTCTGTCAACAAATTGCCGCTCTCAGCATATGACCCATACATTCAGAAAACTGACAGATACCTCAGCGGCTGGCAAGCTCACCTGCTGAACCCAATGGGCAGGGCAGTGCTCATCAACTCAGTACTCGACAGCCAGCTTGTCTACTTCATGAGCTCACTGCAACTGCCACCATCGGTCATACATCAGATTGACAAGAAACGACGCGCCTTCCTGTGTCCGGGAGATCAAACCGGAAAATCATCGCCGGCAAGTTGTTTGGTCGCTTGGATACAAGTGTGTTCCCCCAAAGATCAGGGAGGCTTAGGCATCAAGGACATGGGCACTCAGAACATTTGCCTGTTGCTGAAACTCATTCACAAACTACACTGTCCCGAATCCTCGGCCTGGGCACAGTGGGTGCAAGGCCGGGCCTGCATCTCCACCCTTAAAGGTGACATTCATGGTGACCACTGGACGGCACTACGGTCTCTGCTCCCACTTTACCAGGCGATCACCTCTGTGAAGATCGGCGATGGAGAAACATGCTCTTTCTGGCTAGATGTTTGGCATGGAGACGAAGCTCTAGCAGACATCTGCCCAGCACTCTTCAGTCACTGCACAAGAAAGGATGACACAGTAAAGGAGGTGATACTGTCTGGCCTGCGCCCTGGACTGGTGCCGAGACTATCGCAAACGGCTCTTCAAGAGCTGCAGTATGTTGAAGGAGTGCTCGCACAAACGGAACTTTCAGGTCAAGCCGATCAGAGATCTTCACCATTCAGCAAAAACGCCTCAGGGCTTGATAGCGGTGCAATCTACCAGCTGCTAAAGGCGAAAGGACAGCCGTCTGATGACACAGCAAACTTCGTCTGGCGAAATGCAGCACCTCCACGCGTGCAGATGTTCGTTCATGTGGCTGCTTCTGCAGGGCAGGATACAGTGCCGCTCTGTGCTGCACCGGAAAAATGTGCTACCGGACTGTACCTGTGAGGTCTGCAATGAGGATGACGAAACACCGGAACACATAATCAGCGGCTGCAACCTTGGCAAGCAGTTCTAGGAGAAGCTTGGGGCAACATCCATGGTGGGAATCAGTGTTACTGACATATACACACAATGCCGCCACCGAATGGGGTCCACAGAGAGTACTCGGCCTTCATTGCATTAGCATGCTGGCAGCTGTGGAAGGCAAGAAATGCAACGGTATTCAGAGAAGAAAGGCACAACATCACACAAGTATTCACAGCCTGCAAAGCATCGGCAGAGCAATGGCGATACAGATTTCCAAGAAGGAAAAGGCCAATTGTTGATCAGTGGTGTCAGGTTTTCGAATCAGCAAGAAATGGATGACTAGTGCTCATACTTGATTTTGACAAACAACTATCATCACCACCTGTGTGATGATATGTAACCAAACACCTTGTATAACTATATAACGGGCCGGTTTTTGGGCCAATATATAAATCAGGTGGGGAACGCTTCCCCCCGTTGAGATTCAAAAAAACATTGAGGACCTTTACAGCTATTTTCGCTAAAAGACCCAGTCTCCAGGGACACAAGTCATGGCTATAAGAAACTTCAAACTGTCTTGAGGATAGTTCTGCTACGGCGCACAAAAGGTGAGATAATGACTGCACTGTCTGCATTTTTTTTACCTATCGCTTACACTGAAAAACCTGCCCAATGCATCCTTCTGCCTACAAAAGTTATTTTTTAGCATAGGCCTCTGCCATACCACAATAACAATGAACATTGAACTGCCTTAACAAGCATTGAATTTTTTTAATTCTTTTTTAGTGCTAGGCACTGTTCAATTTCATTTGCATTTGTGTGCGCCTAGTACTTTGATTTTCTGAAGGAAATTCCACCTTGTTTTGCATCTGAACTTTTAAAAATAATTCAGTATATTTGACTGTTACTTGATTCTTCTTTGGTTGTGATATTTTTTTCATTGATCTATTTCATTATAGAAACACTACTTGATGGAGAGCCAATCATAAAAATACCACCAAAGACAATTCAGTTGAGTAAAATAGATTTCACTAAGGAGGAGCGGGCTTTCTATTTAAGGCTTGAAGAAAACTCTCGTCAAACGTTAAAGGTAGTTACCCCAGTTTACATCTTGAATTATCTTCATTCCATATTCTATCAATAAGAAGTTAATAATTTTCCCCATTCCCTCTGTTGTCTTGCATGATATAAATATGTTTTGATCTCGAAAAGGCTACCCGAGATCTTCAATTTTGATGTTCATGAGAGCTAGCTACCCACATAATCTTTATGAAAGTTAGGTTCAGCAGTCTATATTTAAGCCAAAACAACTTCAATATTGATACCCGATGTTCGGTCCACTTTTATTTTTAAATATAAGTTCCAATCGCCTAGAAATTTCAATGTGTAGTATCTGTTGCTCATATATTGAGTTCATTTTACAGGGGCGTTCTAAAGATTTCATACAGAAAAACTACGTGCACATCCTTGCGTTGCTGTCTCAACTTCGGCAGGCTTGTAACCACCCTTTTCTTTTGAAGGGGAAAGAATGTGCCCACTCAGTAGGATTGGCAAAGCAACTTCCTGTGGTGACAGCAGTAAATTTGCTTAAAGTTCTTGAAAGTGGCGCTGCAAAATGTACCATATGTGGTGTAAGCAAACAGTTCGTTCAGAAGTTGTGCATGCAATTTTTGTCACCTTAAAATAGCTGCTAGCTCCTTCATTCTCATAGTATTTCGCGCTCTTGAGTATTTTCTTTGTTTCATGAGGAACGAAAAGGAGGTCAGCTTAAACAAGGGGGTATTTGTGTGACTATACACAAATGATCTACTGGATTAATTTTAGCTGAAATGTTATTTAACCCACAGCTCTGACAATATTTCATTTTCCTACAATTTTGTAGGATCCGCCGAAGGAAACTGTTGCACCACCATGTGGCCATGTTTTCTGCTCCGAGTGTGTGCATTTGAAGTATTAGAAAATTGGAAAATAATTGAGAAGGTGTGCCCTGCTTCTCCGCATTGTGGAAGAGAAATAAGTGCTGAAAATCTTTTATTCACCGATGTATTGAAGTTCTGTCTCTGGCCTAATCTGGAGTCTGAAGCACCAACTAGTCATTCCATAGATGTGCGCCAACCATTCTCAGTCTGTGAAAGTAGCTACGTCTCCTCCAAGATCCGGAACACCATTGACATACTGAACTCGATCATCAACACGGGAGATGCTGATGATACCATGGGATCAGTTCCAAGCGAGAGCACTCCTGTTAAGGCCATAGTCTTCACCCAGTGGACTGGCATGTTAGACTTGCTGGAGCGTTCACTGAGCAGCAACCATATTGAGTTCAGGAGGTTGGATGGGTCAATGCCACTGAACGTAAGAGAAAAAGCAGTGAAAGAGTTCAACACTGACCCAGAGGTCATTTTTCTTGAGTGCTTCCATTTTCCTGTTTTCACTGTTAATTAATTCATTATTACCAGTAGACGTTCTGACAAAGTAGTCCATTTTCATTCTTCATCAGGTGAGAGTAATAATTATGTCACTGAAAGCTGGCAATCTTGGTCTGAACATGGTAGCCGCTTGCCATGTGCTCATGCTTGATCCTTGGTGGAATCCCTCTGCTGTGGACCAGGCAGTTGATAGGGCACACAGGATCGGTCAGACCCGTCCAGTTACTGTTTCACGTTTAACCGTCAAAGACGCTGTGGAAGACCGCATTTTATCTCTGCAGGTAATTCTGTCATTGATGCACTTACATTATGGGGTCCAGATTTTTTTCCCTGCTTAGAGGGCATAGACTTTATTAACAGTGTGGTTATAGAAAGTATTCGGAGCCCAGCTCAACAGAAGAATGGTTAGTCTCGGTTCACTCAGTTTCAGTTGGTCATTGAGCTAAATACTTTAAGAAATGACATGTTTAAATTTCCAAACGTTCAGTACATGAACACTACTCCTAGATTTGTCATTGAGATAAATACTTCTATCATATCTGAATTGTATAAATTCTAGGGATGTAAAGTTAAATGTGTACTGATTGTTCAAGTTGTCTCAACTCTCAAAGACAATCTGTGTGATAGTGCAAAGGTGCATTAGTGAACGATCTGTGTAGAGTAGATATGCAATTTGAGACACCTTCCAATCCAAGCTGATGATTCAATGTGTGTGCTTGTTCTGGCAGGAGGGAAAAAGGAAGATGATCGAATCTGCGCTGGGTGAGGACCCATCCGGTGACAGTCCAGCAACCCGGCTCACTGTAGAGGATCTCAAATACCTCTTCAAGATGTGATGACAGCTTACAGGATGTACATTGCAAGGATCCTTCGTAGGGCGGGGTTGATGAATATTTATCGCCGGGATAAATATGCAAGCTGTAGGTCCGTTACTTACGAGTACAGTCAATAATTGTGCTAGTGTGTTTGTGTGTGTTTGTGCTGTCTATGATCCTAGGAGGCGAGTTGGTATCAAATAAGTGTTTTTTAGTGAGCTCATAATTCAAGGTGGCACCCCTAACGCAGAAACCACCATAGTTTCTATGGACATTAATTGTACTGCCACATAAGCGTTTTGCTGATGTTGCAAGATAGTTATTGAATAGAGAGCAAAAATTATAGAAAACCGGGTCTAACTTAGAAACCATGTCTACACGAGAACCAAGACATGAAGGGATGTGATTGGTAGAGAATGGAGAGATGATGTATGTGATTGGATAAAAAAAAATATTATGTAGAGACTATTCATTGAGACAATGGTTTCTATATGTAGTGTATATAGAAATTAATAGATATAGAAATTACACGTAGTTTCTAGCATTGGGATCGTCCTTAGGCCAGTCCTATTGGGAGTTTTATGTCCTAATTTTCAAGAATCTCATGTGTTGGAAACCATATAGACAAGTTTTATTCCCACAGAACTTTCATCTTCTCTCTTCATCTATAATATGCTACTCCTATGTTAGCTTATTTAATGCCCATAAAATTTCCATAAAAATCCCACCAAGATTGGTCTTAGTGAATGGTTCTCAGAGAAATTAAGGGTCAAAATTTACTATGTATGATTTTCTTATGTTTTTTTGTGAGCGATAAGATTTTGTTATGATTGAAGTATGCGTATGCCTTGGGACACGTTAGTACGATGGAGTACAGTGTATACTATTGTACTAGCTACTACTGAGCAAGTATAATAATGGTCTTATAGCCAATCAAATGTCATTGTGGAGAAAAGAATACATGAGAGATGTGGGGTTACTCCTAGCCTCTCACCCTCGCTAGGGACCACGCGGGGAGAGGTCAAGGGTTTCCCACAGGGAGTGTAACGAAAGAGAGTGTGTGAAGCGCGGGTATCCCGTAGGGAGAGCAAGAAATAAGTGCGGATTAATTACTCATTAAATTACCAAGACGGCCTGTCCATACATGAGCGCTCCTAGGAATTTATAGCTCACTACCGGCCAACTACCCCTAACCCTAATTGGCGGAGCGTGGCCGGCGGAGACTCCCCCTGAGGGCGCTCCTGCGATCTTTTGGCAAACCCTCGCTTCATGGCATGAGGGTTCCTCCCCCAACCGACAACCTTGTGCCCTTTTCCTCCGGTTGGTGTGCCTTGAGCTGAATCTTGCCGGGGGCACGTGAAAGGGAAGAATGGGGAAAACACCTTCGCCGCAGGGGTTACGGCCCGCCGCGAGGCTAGATATCAGGTCCGTAGCGAAGGTCGGGAGACGGGTAGGGGGCGAGCTAGGGTCGCCTTCTCCCAACAAGAGAGATGGGAGCTTGGTTCTCAATATCCAAGCAACAAGCTACGCACCGGATTCTACGTGGTGGTAGGCCCATATGTCAAGTAAATGTGAGGATGATTAGAAAAGAGAATGTGGAACATGAGTAAAAGTAACAATAAAAAATTTATAGACAAATAAGAGACAACTTGACTAATAGCCAAACACTTAGCTTTATTATTGGGCTTGCTCTAAAGACCTCAAAACATACATGTGTGCAACGGTGATAGCCTGCTAACTAACTTAATTTTAACTAAATTAGTTTGCTATAAAAATAATATTAATTAATTTAATATTACTTATTTTGTATCATAAATATATTTACCTTTTTACATAATTTTTGTCAAACTTTAAATCATTTGACTTCTCAAAAAATGATAATTGCTCCTTATATGGACAGAGATTACCCCCGTCCCAGAAGTTATATAAAACAATGTTTATTAAAATATTTTTAACTCTGACTAAATTTATATAAAAAGATACTAATGTTTAACATACTAAATAATATGAATAGTTAGATTGATTATAAAATATGTTTCTATAGTATGCCTACCTAATAATCTCGCCATTTCAAATTACACTCGTTCTATCTTTTCTAGGTACCACCTGTATCTAGAAAAGAATGTAATTATACGTATATTCTTGGTTAAAGTGCCTAAAATTTGATCAAATATATACATCTATACCTAATATTAAAGAGTCAAAATTTCTCTCCTCATTTTTTGTCCAGCCCACTCTAACTAACTATATGAATGTGGAAATTATCTCTATTCGACTATCTATAGGCTATAACCATGCGGACTTCTCAAGGTAACCTAGATAACTAAGAGTCCTAATTCAAATAGAAATTCTAATATTAAACATGATGAATTTTTTCAATTCCAATCCTTTTCTTAATATTTTTCTAAGAACGTTGAGACCCTGTGCGTCAAAAAAAAAAAGGCTGAGGAGTCCTTGTCCTGTTCGGATGTTTAAGTTTTGGTCTTTTTAAATTCCTTTTTCCTGTTTTACTCAAGAAAGAACGTTAGACCCTGTGCGTCAAGAAAAAGGGTTGATGAGTCCTGTTTGGATTTCCTTTCCTGTTCAGATGTTTCTTTCATGTATTTTTTTTTTTTTTTTTTCTCCAGTTCCGGTTACGTTTAGTTACATTTTCTTTTTTCCATTATGTATTCTTTATTTTCACATTCAACTAAATGTGTTTTCATTTCATTATTTTTATTTTTCATTCATGTTCGACTAAATGTGAATGTGAAAATGGAAACAAATATATAAATAGTAACAACAAAGATAAAGAATAAAAACAACATAATACATAGGCTTTGAACTCCTGAGCATTCACTAAGAAAGATATATTTCTACCACCAAATTCTTAATGTAATTTTGGTTAAAAGAAAGACTTGTATATTATTATATCCTGATTTAGTCGAGTCTAACTAATCAAACCGTAAGTAATATTAAAGTGATGATATAAAATTAGCTTATGTTAAGAATGTCATATTTATCATAAAATTAATAAATTATAGTTTTAAAATTTTATAGAAAGAGTGAAACATAAATAGATATGTATCATTTCACTTCTCGATTTCCATGAATATTTGATAGCTTTTTCCTCCCATTGCAACGGACAGGCATTTTTGCTAGTATATATAAAACATTAGTGTTTATAAAGCTAAATAAGTATATTATGAAGATATACATCAAATACTCATTTTCGTGTCTTAACTAGTTACACTTTTATATATAATTAGTCAAATTTGAGACACTCTAACTTTGCACTGTTAGAATTACATTCTTTTATAGATGGAGAGAGAATATAATGTTTTTGCTATTTTAACTAGATATAGACCTTGTCTAGATACCTAACATAAATTAAGTAATTCCCTTTATTCTAAATTATAAGATGTTTTGGCTTTTCTATATACATTACTTTTATTATATATTTAGACGTGGTGTATATCTAAGTGCATAGCAACTAAAAAGACAAAACATCTTACAATTTGAAATAGATGAAGTAACTTGAAAAGTTGAGACAACTTATAATTTGCAATTGAGGGATTATCATAAATATTTATACTATTTTTTAGATGAATATTGATGTTATTTCTTATACCTAAATTTAATCAAAGATAAGATAATACAGTATTGCCACACCACTAGGAGAAGACGTGCCCTTTCCTCCTCCTCCTCGTCACCATCATCGTCTAGGGCCCCTATCCTTCTTCCTCCCTGATGAGTTTGCCGATGGCAAGAAGGAGGGAAGACCCATCTCTCGCTAGAACGGTTCTTTAGATCTAATTCATTTAGGTTTAGTCCAAATAAATCTACGGTAAAATCAGATGATTTTCGGTCCCGAATCTTTTTGCTCGTGATGATTTCGATGATTGCCATGTCAAGGTCATCGTTGGAGGCCTCGATGTCATCAATGGATGACCAATTTATGGCCATTATCTAAAAGGGGAGGCGTGATCCTGGGCACTCCCAAAGGGGGTCATCGATCTCATCATCCACTATCATGGAGAGAAAATCAGAAATCTAAGGTGATGAATATCCATCCTCGATGATACTACTGTCGGTGTTTTTAGACCACCGACGAGTAAATTTGTATTTGCGCATCTGGCTTGGATGGTGTGCTCGGAGGACACAAGGGTTTATACTGGTTTGGGCGAAACGTCCCTACGTTCAGTTCGCTGCTGCTCGTGTTACCGGCACTTGGTTTGTAGTAGGGGTTACAAACAGGTGAGAGAGGAAGAGGATCCCAAGTCTTTGGTGGAAGGAGTGAACGGGTGCTGAGAGCTCGCTTGCCACTCAGCCGTGTGCTCGTGTCGTGCTCTTGTGTCAAGATCTCCCCCTTTCATGGGGCGCTCTGTTTTCTCTTTTATAGGCGAAGAGAAAGCGCGGGTTACAGAGAAGGAAAAGGAGAAGAATGAGAGAGAGAAGAAGGCTTCTAGGGTTACCGGGTCCTTCTTCTCCTTCATGGGGGTCCCACCGATCCTATAAATGTTAACAGGGATGGCTCCATGCCGCGGCCCTGTTCGTCACTGGCGCCATATGCAGGCATCATCTGTCGGTCATGGTGTTCCACTCAGTCCCGGCAGACATCGTGGTGAACTGACGCGCCTGTCAGCATCTGTACGAGGATTAGGCATAATAGCACCGGCACGCCCGACATTATTCTTGATGTGAATCCTTAGGTATGGCCCATCATGGCCACGGGTTACATCGAGACGGAGCCCACGGCCTCGAGGTCGGGCAAGACGGAGCCCACGGCCTTGGGCGAGATGGAACCCGCATCCTTGGGATCGGGCGAGACGGAGCCCATGGCCTCGAGGTCAGGCATGTAACCAACCATAGGATTCGAAAGATCGGAAAGATTTTTTCTTGATTCTGGTCCCCTAGGATTCGATCGATCCGCCGTCATACTACGACTGCGCGTTTGGTCTCCTTACGAGTCCAACTTCCCTCGAGCCCCCACGCATAGCAGGGGTCCGGTCGAGGGTCATCTCGTCTTTGTGATCATCATC